GCAATGAGAGGAAGAAATTTCTTAAGACATGACGCGAGGTTTAACTCAGTTAAGTTAAAAGTATTTTCATTAGAATATTTTGTCTGGAACACCAACATGGCCGCCATGGCTTTTGTTGAGTTGGTCCCTGGGGAATGTGTGCAAACGCTCTATTCATAACTTTACATAGCTCACATGCCTATATAATATAATTATACTGTTTTAGTTTACAGAAGCATGGGATATAACAAAGTTAACTAAGTTTTAGAAGTATCTCAATGAGTGAATAATTCTTCTAATACTTAGTTTTCCTTTGTTCTTTGCTATGCTTCTGTAAACTAGAATAATGGTAACTTGGCATGTGAGTTGGTCGGCCAAATTTGTCTGTGCATGTCAAAATTGTTTGACCTGTATTCGGATTGTCGGTACTGAACCGTAAAAAGCATGCAAGTTGATAAAGGCCTAGGGTGTGCATTTTGAAGCCTGACTAGGAAAATTAAAACTGAAAAAGAATATTGCATCTATAATATATGCATGTTTAAAGATGCGCCGTAAGTCTTTTTAAATGTTTTAAAACAAGGCGCTTATAGCTATATATAGATAGACAGGGGTTTTAGAACATATACTAGGCGGGTTTTAGAACATTTTTATCATATGTTTTCTCAGTATAAAGTAAAGTCTTCAGACAATTCAGCTGTTTTTCTAGCTGTAATCAGTTCAAACTCAACAATAGACTATATCTATCTATCTTAATTTAATTAATTGAACTGATGAAATTTGGGCTGAACGAATTTTTAGTTAGTAACCATTCAGCATAGAATAATTTTAGTGTAATTATATGTTTTGCGATGCGCATTTGATCACATACTATAACATGTTAATTTGCGCGATATAAATATTAAATATTATTATTAATATTATTAATATTATTTTTAATATTAATATTAATATTAATATTATTATTATTATTAATATTATTATTATTACTATTATTCCAGGTCTCGAACATTGGTAAAATTTTGTTACAATTGTAAAATACAATTATAGCAAAATCCCAACCTCATGCAGTGTGAAAACTCGATCAGTTCGCGGCGAAGTGCACATCAATAGATAGGACTGACTAAGAAAACAACAGATATAGCCCCGCCATTGTTTTCTAGTAACAGGCTCATGCAGCACTTGTCAAATCCCAAACATACTCCCACAAGGAAAGTTAAATTTATCAGTGATGATAATTTAAAATCCGGCATTTCTGCTTCGCCAGGACCCATTTCTAAAAATTAATCTCGTAACCGAATACAATGCTGGAACAACTTGGAGTTTGCAGGAAGTTAAAATTGGATTATCAGGCTGAAATACAAGTTTTGTTCTTCCTAAAAAAAGTAATTACTGCAGTTATTTTTAAAATTAGGTAAACAACAATTGCACGAATTAACAAAGAAGAGTTGAGAGCCAAAATCAGTGATGCAGATTATTTAGGCGGTTCCCATCCTTTAAGGGATTGGAAATTGGGCTGACATTTATTCATTAACAACTTTGGATAACTTCAATTTTAATGCGATTCAGCAACTATCTATACAATCATAGCAAAACTTAGCTGTAAACTAATATATCACCGTTCATATATACATGTAATGTTTGCGATAGATGAACCAGGCGGAAATCGTAATCTTAGGATAAACATTAATGCCCAGCATAAAACACGTAAAAGAGCCATAACAAAAATATAATTTAAAATATTTATTTGAAAGCTAACGTTTCGTCTTTAACTTAAGACATCTTCAGAGCAATGACATACAAAGCGGAAAACACGGAAATATGAATAAATTACAACTATTTACAAGATATTATATTACAAAAGTAGAAAGAGGAATGGATCAGAGCAGAAGTAGAGGGACCGAGCTGCCCTGTAAGTTGAGAGAGGGTTTGAGTTTGTTAATGAGAAAACTTTCTCGAATGAGGAGTTCGTCTGGAGAAGAGCAACAAGAAATAATCTTAAAATCATTAAGAGAGGCGGAGTGACCAGTGCTATCAAGATGGGAAAGGATACTGGACATGGTCGGATTGCTGCTTTTACTGCCTGTTAGAGGAGAATCCATTCCTTTTTCTACTTTTGTAATATAATATCTTGTAAATAGTTGTAATTTATTCATATTTCCGTGTTTTCCGCTTTGTATGTCATTGCTCTGAAGATGTCTTAAGTTAAAGACGAAACGTTAGCTTTCAAATAAATATTTTAAATTATATTTTTGTTATGGCTCTTTTACGTGTTTTATGCTGGGCATTAATATTTATCCTAAGATTACATGTAATGTCATGTTGACATCTTTGTAGCCCCGCTCCCTCGTGCATTGGTGCCTTTGACAAAGCTTTGAGATTTCAAGTTTCAACATTGAAAGGGGGGACGCGCTAGCTGGAAATTGCTGTTTTTGCAAGCACATGACTCAGCAAAGCATACATCAATGTATAGCGCCAGGGAATTCTCCACAACAGGTTTCTCCAATTACGGCGACCCCATATTTACATGTAGTCAAATTACACAAACTAATCACATGACAAATCAGCGCAAGGGACCAGGCAGTTTTGTATTCGAAACACACTGGCAGACTTCCAAGTGCACGCGGATCCTCACACTCATAAAAGTTCATTGGCGCATTTTTACTGGTATATATTATTTTACATTCATTGTTTCATATTGTTACGAACGTTACTCCTTTTACTCCTTAAAATGTTCCACTTTTTACATACTGTATTAAAATATGAAGTCATGTCTAGGTTAGGACCGACCTTTTTTTAAAATTTGCGGAAACTGAAGCCTAATTGGTGATAATGATGATGATACCTCATAGGATCAAAACAGAGTAACTATTTAAAGCGTTTACAACTTTACATCATCTATATACTAGAAAATACATGCATGCAGAAACCCTCGCCTTGCTGACAAAACCATTATGTTTTCCAAACATGAAGTATTGTCATGGTAACACGATAATTTTAAGAATAGTTTTAAAATTGAAAAATCCCCCCCAAATATCACTTAATTACAAATGATCAATTTCCCAAACATATATATGCTAGGTATGATTATACGTAATGTAAGCTTCAATTTATCAATGTAAAAATCAACCACAAACACTTCGCAAAACGTTTCAAAATGTTCTTAAAACTAAACTGCCTTTTATCGGTAAACATTGAGTTTCAAAATTGAAATAAACTGATTTCAAATTCTTGCATTTAATATACAAAAAAGGGTAATTAAAATCATTATGATATTTTGTGCAGCTATGCCCAAAAGAACTAAGAACATCTATTGTTATACATTTACATATACTTCGTGTCGAGAAATTTGTGATACAGAATTATTTCAACTGCAATGAAGAACAGGTGGAAGTAGCCCATGAGGAGTCTCGGGCATCGCCAAGAGAGGAATAATTATATTTCAACACGTATACGCCTAGAAATTATGACGGATCTATTTTGTTTTGTAATTTTTGCCATTAAAATTGATAGACATACATCACACTCGATGGCATTATCTGTATGATGTACTGCCGGGATGACTGAAATTATGCAAACTATATTGGATCGGAGTTATTCTCTAATAACGGGGTTCCAAAACCACTCAAACTAAACAAATAACAATATCAGGTATGATTTTGTTATAGGCCTTGTAGAAACGACACTATAGCGCGCAGTGCGGTCGATGCACGATATTAAAAAAACGGCCGTACTTCAATCGGCCGAATTTGAGGCTTATTCTATGATTATAGGATTTTGATTCAAGAGGTATTAAATGCTAGAAATGAGATTTGGTGAATTTCATAAAATCTTCAAATTTCTGTGAGCGACCCAATATTTTTATTTAAGATTATGCTATCATAATTTCCTTCGGAAAAACATTAATCCACATACTTCAAGTACGGACTGCCCTCAAATTTACTTTTGAAATACCCCCCACCTAATGTAATACTTGTCACAATGTATGACATCCAGGAAATGATCGATTGGCATCGAGGCAATGTGAAGATCGCATTATCAGTGGATCAAAGACTGCTTCATTATCAAGATTTTTGGGCATCTTCGATAGAACTAATAGTAGATGAGTTTCTTGAAGATTGTATTTTCGAAAGCATATTTATATACAGTAGTTAAGGGTTTTGAAGTTTTAGACTGATTTTACCAGCAGGCAGCAACTGGACTCTGTAGCTCAGTTGGTTAGAGCGCTACACCGAAATCGCAAGTTGTAACAAAAATCTTGTATTATCGCGGTAAATGCTAATGTGTTTAAATATCAAGTGGTAAACCACTTACTTAACATTAGTACTCCATTAATCAGTCTTTGAATTTGGATAAAAAAGAACGTTCTAACATTTTGTAACGAGATTTACTGTATCCTGTAAATACAGTAACAAGATTAATCGAAGCAGGAGCACTTATCCATGCTCTTGTCGAATAAAGATTAACCATATATAAACTTATGCCATGCATATCATTCTATATATGGTACCTTAACCAACTGTCTTTAGGCATTTATGAATATAATTAATCTTCCTACATGCATGGGCGCATGGTAGATTAATTTAAAGTTGAAGAATTTTGATTTTCATGCACTCAAAATATTGGCAAGCTGCCGCAAGACGCTGCTGATGAAAAGCGCTGTTTAAAAAGCGAAAACTGTCGCACTATATTCAGGAATTTAGACCTCTCCCTCTCCGACTAATGTGCGAAAATTTAACAAACATTCATGGACATTTATTATATATAGTGTCCGATATTTTGTCAAAGTGTTACGAGAGTAGAATCAATGATTTGTCAAATAGCGAGAATAAATCTCAGAAATTGTGACTTAAGGCTTGGCTGCACATCGTCAAGCAAGCCCCTTTCAATTTAATTTCACAAATTTATTTCGATCAATAATACTGTACATACAATATATACAATATATACAGTGGCGTAGCCACTAGCCAGCGCGACAATTTAGTCCCGCTATGCAAATTCAAAATTATTATCATTATTCATTACTTTAGAACTTGATTGTTTTCACAGTCAATGAACACGAAAATATTTGCATAGCGGGACTAAATCGTCGGGCTGGCTACGCTACTGACAATATATTATCAACAGTTACATAAGAATTTATAACTTGAATATCCAAAAAGGCAATTTAGGTGCGAACGGGACTCTTGAAAAGGACATACAAGCACATGCCATTAATTTAGATATTGTGTACTTAAACGTTACACATAGTACTATATACTCATGTGGACATGGAAAACATGCGGAAAGACATTAAATAAGATATCCTGCGGCAAGGATATTTCACCTCTGAGATCGGGAATGTTGACAGGGTGGGTTGGCTAACTAACCCTTCTACCGTGCTCCCATCCTCGTCCCCAGGGCCTCTCGGCCGCGCGTCCTCCATAGGCCCTGAGACACACGGAACCGGAAGTGCAAGAAAACTTGCAGTAGTTTCTAAGGCACATACTGTTGTATTGGGACGCTTTACTGAACCGTAACAATTTTCACAGTGAAGTATTACGACGAAACGAAGTATTTGTGTTGACTCGTATGTTGATAGAATAATTTTACCTAGCGAAAACTGCTCAACTTCTGCAAAATAGCAGTTATCTGAGAAGCCAATCAGATCTCTCCCTTTAGTCGTCTAACCCAGAGCCATTCTCGTCCCCAGAGTCATTTTCACTCGGTCACCGAGAGGCCCTGGGAACGAGGATGACCCAGAGCCTAATTTTCAACGAGTGGTCACTCGTTGAAAATTAGGCTCTGGGTCATCCTCGTTCCCAGGGCCTCTCGTGACCGAGTGAAAATGGCTCTGGGGACAAGAAGGCCGTGCTCCGTAATTAGACATGAGTCGTAACGACGCCATCAGGAAGCGTTTGACTCGATCATGCAGATTTAGCTGCGTCCTTCGCAATCCAGCTTAGCTCTCAGCTTGCAAGTAAGGATGATTAGGGTACCCCCACGTACACAGCTAAAAACGATCAGGTTGTTGCAATATTGATGAAAACAAGATTGAACAATGTTGTGCGGCACACATTGTTCACAGTTGTCAACAACGTTGAACAATATTGTTACACCCGATTCAGGCTCAACAATATTGTTCAATATTGTTGACAAGTGTGAACAATGTGGGCCGCACAACATTGTTCAATCCTGTTGAACAGCAGGCTCATAATTTTACGTGTGTACCCTAGCAAGCCAACTACGGCTGTTTAAGGACTGGTTGAGGAGGTGTCGCTCTCCACAAGGTGCTATACTATTATACATGCAGCTATTTTAATTAAGGTTGTCCCCGAGCAAAGCGGAAAAGTCGAATACGAGCGCGAAAGGCTTGCTGGGAACCGCTAAAAAATCATTAATTTCCTAGCGATTCTCAGCAAGCTTTCGCGCTCGTATTCGACTTTTCCGCTTTGCTCGCGGGGACAACCTTAATTTAAATGGCTGTATATACAGTACTATAGACGTACAAACTACTATACAGTTTAAATAGAATTTTTTCGTTCAAAAGAATTCTTTAATACAAAATCCGGCCATGCCACCGTCATCCCTGTAGTTGCTGCTATGTTTGTAATTGTTATTTGTAACATTAAATTACACTAATTACACAAACTATTTACAAGCCCTTTTTCCAACGTCAATATAAACATCATATGGTACTATTGTCAGTTGTGGTCATGTGTCCAGAAGATCGATTGGTTGTCCAAAACTAAGAACCATTTCTCTCAATTCTTCATCTTCTGTCCAGTCAACATCACTTCCAAATATCAGTGCCTGTAAACCAAGTCAAAAGCAAAAAATAATACTTTTATTATCATTATCACTTAAACTCAGCTTATGCAAATCTGAGTCGATATTTGTGAAGATCTTGCTGCAATCTCTCATACTCGTTTATCAAATACTCACCAATGAATGTCAAGACTTTCAAAGACTTTCTTTGCTTTTTCATACAATTGAAATACACTCTTCAAAAAACTTAATGACATGCATTACTGTCGTTCCAATTGAAGTGTTGCTCAAATATTGATTCAATACATTACCTCGGGCTGACCAATTCATTTCATCAAGTTTCTCGAGATATTCATACACTTCCTAGTAAACCAATCACCTTTGTTGTTTGTGCAACTAACCAATCATAAATAGAAAGGAAGTGACCAGAAATTATGAAATACTTGGAATTGGCTCTTTCACAGGAAGTGTATGAATATCTCGAGGAACTTGATGAAATGAATTGGTCAGCCCGAGGTAATGTATTGAATCAATATTTGAGCAACACTTCAATTGGAACGACAGTAAAATTTAAAGACTCTTAGTGCAAGGATTTCACACACAGCTAAGAATCCTATAAATAAATCTTGCTCCTTTACCTGACATATATTTCGTGCAACTTCAATCATATTTTGGCGTTCTAAAATCTGTTTTCGTAAACTAAAAAAAATAGATGTGAATGTGAATAAATTGTGAATGTATTACAGAAGTCTACTGCTCAATAATTTCTGAAAGCTTTCGAATGACAGCTGAATAACTATAACAAAATATAACTATATAATTGATGAGTCGTACAGTCTACAGTCTACAGTCATTTCATAAATACACTGATACAAATGCACACTACATGCATACGTCACGCAGTTGGCTTTAGAGGGGAGGGGGGGGGGCGGGACGTTATAAGCTCTAACCTCCCCCACCATTTTCAACAAAATTTGGCCTTGTTTAAAATAACTCCTTAAAATTAACACTGTGTGACAAACGCTGTTAGAATTGGAAATAAGTCTGTTCTGTACCTAGTTTCTGTCTTGCTTTCCTTCTCAGTTTTGCTAGTTTGTTTTTTCATTTGCAATTCCTAAAAAATAAATATAATTTTAAGTCATCATAACCAAAGAGTGAATTTTAAAAACACTGTGGTTAAAATTTCCTGGTTGACCTAGAAACAACACTATTTGATAAATAACCAGGTGCCCCTAGTTATTTATCCACCTAACATAGTCTGGTTATTTTAATAAGGACATCCTGGTCAAATATAACCAGATTCCAGGTTACATTAACCATGCAGACTACGGTAGGAGATAAATTAAACAGGAAATTTAACCAGAAATTCAGGTTAACCCAAATAGTATTATTTCTAGGTTAACCATAAAATCTTACCCAGTGTTTTTAGAGTGTCAAAACCATTACTTGTATGGTCTTCTACTTTTTCACAGTTGTTCCGAATTTGGTCTAGAGGTTATCTTCACTTTTGAATGACGAAAATGGCGGTGGAGAAGGGGAATAAAGCAATTACCAAGGACAGGCCGAGGGGATTGTTTATCCTATAAGCTTGGCAAGCCTTGTGGCTTGCCTTGGCAAGCCTTGTGGCTTGCCAAGCCTAGGATAACAGTGGGCTCATATTTTCTGGCCAAGTTTGTTTGAAGCCTGTCTGCACGATACGATTTGTCGTATATGTTTGTCATTCTGGAGTATGGAAATTTTTGCTGACGCTACAATTCCTCTTCGTTTAGATTATGGCGAAATTTCAAATGCAACCTCTTTAGGCGTGCTTATTCGATTACATACGCCAGAACTAGAGGGCATTCGGAGACTATATACCGCATAAATTATACATAAATTATACAATCATGCATAAATTATACAATGGGTAATTACGCATTCAGTCTACTCTGCCCGAGTGTCCGGCAAAGCAAGACAAACTTTTGCTAATTTCCCATCAAATTTTCATCCAAGCAGACAGAAACACACATACATACACCTCCTGACGCAGGTTTATAACGATAATTATGAATAATTATGCGAACTTAATAAGAAAATATATTATTAGGTAATAATGTGGATTTAATTTATTTTATTTCAATCGAAATACACTTGTCTTGTTTTAGTTGTTTAATAGAAATCCGCATGCTAGTGATGAGAAACAAAATATTTTGAATTTTTAAGAAGAAAAGTGAACCTTTTTCAAAAGCTGGAATTTGGCATACGTTTCTGGAATGCCATAATTGACATTTTTCAGCTCAACTCTTAAAATTACACCCTCAAAGACAAAGGCCGCAATATCTCATGCATATCCAGAATTCTGATTGCAACTGATATAAACGAAAAACAAGTTAATTAAAGTGAAAAATGATAGGATATACGTTTTATGAACCAAAACACCTAATCAGTTCGTGGCGAGGTTCGTGAAATTTTTGTGGAATACCTAGTAGTGTCTAGTGGTTACAGAAATATAAGTGCTGAGAGTCACATCCTATCACTTGAAGCGCTTCAGCTTAGTAAATGTTTGAGTCAAGACAATAGCTTCAGCCCGTGCTTGGCATAATACCTTTCTGGGCTTTCCCGCAGTAATTTTCCCCCACGTGGCATTATTGGGCATGCATATTTTCAATAATATTCGCCAAAGTAATTTCCCCAGCGACATAAATTTCACTACATAATTTCCGCACGTTATAATACCAGATATACCAAAATTGACTATAGCAAAGCCTTTTACAGTCAATATTTTAATACAGAGGAGCACGTTTTCTATGAAAGGTTTTTTTTATGACAAGTACGCTTCAAAAGCTAGCAAGTTTCGAACAGGTGAACTTGTCATGTTTTCGCTCGCTACTCTGATTTATATAAATGAATAGAAAGTCCAGTCGAATTGTAATAAAAAATTTTGCTGAACAAAGAGTATTTGAATTTGAGCACTTGGACAGCGATATATTGTTGTAGTAGCTATTTGTGGAGGCCAAAAACTTGTCGTAGTTCTGTAAAATTTGCCCACGGCACGTAATTTTCGAGCATAATAACGAGTAGTTCAGATTGAACTTTGAACTTGGCTAAAATTTTTGTTCAACATTGTCAGGGAATATGATAAAAAATGTGACAGTTTAGTGAATATGCCACATATATGTTAAAAATTGGCATTAAAATCAATACAAGATACCGAAAAACCCAATTTTGAGAAAAAAGAGTAATCTCATTTGGGAAAGGTTTATATATTGGCATTATTAGTTATCAATAAACATAATGCATAATGACGTCACAAGGCTTGATGCCTGCGAGGAATGCTGGTCTTTATAGTAGTGGCGTCCGGGAAAATTAAATAATTGGGTCTATCCCGGTTATTCTGAGATCACAAAACAGACACCAGTGAGAGTTTGATTTCGGGATCCATTCTCGTCTCCAGGCTACTAGCTTTGGTTGGCTCGGTTACCCTCATTCCAAGAGTGGTTATCGGGACAAAAACGGAAAATCTCCAAAATAAAATTGAAAATGATTTTTTGTGAAGTTGTCATTATTTTGAAAATCAATGGACCTTTCCCCTTATAACTAAAATTTCGATCTAGACAAAAATTTCATCACAGCTTCAAGCTGAAAGAGCATCACAAAATTAGTAATATTCCAAAGTTTCGTTGCGAAATCTTGTCAAATGCGGATAATATAGCCTTGCGAAGTTTGCCGTTTTTCAGTCATTTTGTATTACAAACGGGAAATTGACATACGATTCGGGTGTTGGGGCTGCAATTTCCCGTTTGTAATGCAAAATGACTGAAAATTGCAAACTTCGCAAGG